GATTTGTAATTCGCAAGTACATTGTAATTTTGTACACCCAAATAATAGCTGTATGACAGTATCAAAAAAAGAAGCCAGCGAGAAACTTTAGTATACCTGTGGAACAAAGGTATACATAGTGCAAAAGAGCTTTATGCTCGAACCGGTATCCCCTGGTCTACTATTTACGACAATATAAAAAGGTTAAAAGTGCGTGGAAATATTGACCATGCTAGAGAAAATGGTCAGCCCAAAAAAATTAGTAATATTGGCTCTCGGGCAATTGAGAAGCAAATTAAAAAGGATTCGTCTATTTCAACAAGAACTTTAGCAGCATATCTATCAAGTATAGGTAATGACATTTTATATAGAACAATTGGAAGGTATTTGGCTATAATGGGATATGTGAAAAAATGTCTCATGAAAGACCCCATGCTGACTAATAACCAAAAAAGAAAGAGAGTAGAATGGGCCCAGGCTCATCTTAATGATAATCGGAACAGAACTTTTTTTACAGATGAATCAGCCTTTTAACTCTTTCAAAATACGCTCAAGTGTTGGCATAAGAAAGATCAACAGCTAATTCGTCCAATTCCTAAAGACCGTACTAAAATTAAAGTGTGGGTGGTTTTTTAGTAAAGAGAAAATCAAGCTTATTTTGCTTTACACAAATTATGGACAAGAAATTTTATGTTGAAATTGTGTGCAAGCACCTTCCTGAAGTAAAAAAAATGTTTGGTAAACATTGACGTTGGCAACAAGATAATGACCCAAAACACACAAGCAAATTTGCTAAAGCATTTCTTTTAGAAAATGTTTCTGAACTTATGAACTGGCCATTGAATAGTCTTGATTTAAACCCTATCAAAAATTTGTGGTGCATTGTAAAAAATAATGTGAAAAAATGTATGCCATATAATTTGCAAGAATTAGAGCAGTATATGAAAGAGGAATAGAATAAAATTCCAAATTTAGTTTTAGTTAGTTTAGTAGGATCAATGAGGCAACGATGTGAATTAGTAATTGAAAATAATGGTAAACGAATATCATTTTAATTTTTTAATTAATAAATCGTCTAATATTTGTCTACCAATTATATAAATTTTATATGATTTTATGCGATCATTCTCCCATAATCGTACAATTTTTGATTCTGGTTTTTTTTGTTTCACACTGTAGATAACGACTATAACAATAAGTATCGAGAAAAATAAAAAAATCATTTCAAATATAATTATTTGACGCCTCTCCAAAAAATCTAAGGTTTGAATATGTGTTTCTTTATAGATCGCAGTTATACACAGTTTCTATAAAGTTGAAATCTTAGACTGTATCCAATAAATTAAAACTACTAGTCGCTAACAAATATTCAGCCCTTTGATATTATTTTGCTTGGTACTTGTTATCTCTTTAAGAAATATTATAGCATTTCAAGATTCGACGCAACATAAAAAATAATCCTATTAAATTTGATACGTTTATATATTAGCATATATATAATATGAAAAACGTAAAATAAATAAAAAAAAACATATGGAGGGAAGTCAATAGAAAAAGGACAAATTTTTTCTAAGTAAAAGTTTTCTTAACTTTAAACTTAAATATCTTAACAACTATCTAATCAATTTTAATATTTTTTTTTGTTTTAATTCTATATAATTTCAAGATTAAAATAAAAAAATTTTTATCAAATTTGATTAGATAGTTGTTAAGATATTTT